CAAAATTGGAGATATGGTCAGCACCTGGTGCATATACTAGAAAAAATTATTTTTGTTTATTGTTCAGTTTACTCAGTTAAAATAAGCTACAGCAACACAATTGCTGAATATTTTATCACAATTTTATTGTGTTCAGTCTACTTAGATATGCAAAACTTTAAATTTTACTGAATTAGTTTGTGTTGGGACTATCGTTTTTGTTGCGCTAATCATTTTCTGTTGCAATGAAACTGCATGGGTGAATTTTAGGTCCAAGCATGCTTTGCATAGGATTGAAATGGGCGAGTAAATGCTGAAATTAAGTGTTATTTCTATGCATTTCTGAGTAAAAGCAAAGACCTTTTATGTTTAGTTATGTTGGATATTTAAAAAAGTTTGTGTTGTTGAAGATTTTGTGATTGACATTGTGCTGAAAAGTAGAGCATTTTTATCCAATTTAAATAAAAAGTGTCTAAATTAAGAAAAATTTATTTTATGCAAACTAAAACAGGACAATGAAAAGTATGTACTTTGTTAATTATACTTAACTCAGTTAAATTTCACAATTTATTACAAAGGAATGACAAATAACACATTGATTTCAACATTACATTTATAAGTAGAAAGACTGAAATTGTATTTTCTTGTAAGACACTCCAATAATCCTTGCTTTATTTACAGCTTTGAAAAATATATTACAGTGTAGAAAGTTAGAAACTACATCGTTTGTGTACCAGTATACTCCTGCTAAATTTAAATAGTGTTCTTTATTTTTTAAGCGGGGGATACATTTACAGATGCTTTTATTCAAAGCTATGTACATTGCAATCTATACATTTTTATCAGTTCATGCATTCTCTGGGAATCAAACCCATGACCTTATGCTTTTTTCTTTCCGTTATATTACTCTTCCATAGGTTTCATTTAGCATTGAGGCAAAACTTCACGGCTGCCCTAAAGAGAAGAGCCGGACCTTCATGGTCAAGCCAATGGGCTTTAAAGACACCCTTCAGGTGATTGTGGACTTTGCTTGTGAATGTGACTGTCAGCAGTCCTCCGTGCCCGCCAGCCCGTCCTGTCACCACGGGAACGGTACCCTGGAGTGCGGTG